CGGATAAACCCAAAACTGTACAGCAGCAAAATTGGCTCTGTTGGCACCTACCACAAGAGATAGTCAACAGATAAACACGAAACTGGACAACCGCAAACCTGGCCACTGTTCGAACCTACCGCAAGAGATCGTCGACAGATAAACCTTAAACTTGACAACCGCAAAACTGGATACTGTTGGCGCCGACCAGAGATCTCTGAGGGTTTATGTTTGTAAGCAATAAACTACCCGCCCGACAAGGGTTTTACTTAGAATAAAACCCTAAACCCATAAAAGGTGAAAATTTGGGTGGTTGGGGTGGGCTACCCCATACAAAAGACGGCGGTGCCTCCCCTTCGATGTCTCGGGGAGGCGCCGCCGTGGCGCTAAAGGACGCCCTAAACCCTAAACCCTAAACCCGCCCGCCACCCTCTTTTCTAGGTGGCGGGCGTCCCTGAGCGACAGCGAGGCGGACGGCGCGCGAAGCTAGGCTGCGAAGCGTGCCTCCCTAGCCCTAAGCTCGAGCCACCACTGCAGGCTGAGCCGAACCAGCTATAGTCACAATAGATATATTATAACCCTAAACCCCAGTTCTGAAATGGATCATGCTTAAAGGCAAAAATCATTTTCCAAAAATGATTTTCCTCTTTAAACTTGGCGCCAGGCCTTCCCGTCGAACAGATTTGCCTTTAACAGGCCCTGGTGCCTCCCAGGCTGTCCAAAGGTCCTTTCCTGCCTCCCTGGTGCCTCCCTGGTGCCTCGCAGGCTGTCCAATTAGTCCTTTCCTGCCTCCCTGGTGCCTCCCAGGCTGTCCAATTGGTCCTTTCCTGCCTCCCTGGTGCCTCCCTGGTGCTTCGCAGGCTGTCCAATTAGTCCTTTCCTGCCTCCCTGGTGCCTCCCAGGCTGTCCAATTGGTCCTTTCCTGCCTCCCTGGTGCCTCCCTGGTGTCTCGCAGGCTGTCTAACTAGTCCTTTCCTGCCTCCCTGGTGCCTCCCTGGTGCCTGCCAGGCTGTCCAAATGGTCCTTTCCTGCCGGAGACCCGCCGGGGTCTGCCCCCTTGCCTCGGGTTTACCCTCGCCTCGTTTCGTTGCAGTGGCGTCGGCTCTGTGCGCAAAGGCTAAGAAAATATTTAAGCCTGCCCGGCGTCTGAGGGCAAACCCTAAACCCTAAAAGAGTTGTGTTTGGGTGGCCTTGGGGTGGGCTTGCCCGCAACGTGATGGCGTGCGCAATGGAGAGGGGCGGCGTGAAAGCATACCGATAGCCGCCCCGATAAAGGCGCACGCCATGACCGGTGAACACCCTAAACTTTTAGGGCTTGCGCCTCTTGTGCGCCAACACAGGTTGGCTTTTAGAGGGTTTGGCAGTTTGTAGACAGCAGAATTGTTATGGTTTTTAGCCAATGCATCGTGTAGTGTGCGCGCAGGGGAGTTTCGAAGCCTCGAGGAGCTTAATGCTGACGCGGGGCGCGTGCCGATTTTGAGTGCTTAAGCGGTTTCAAAGGTCTAAAGGTTTAGGGTGATCAGGGGCTTATGGATTTATGAAATTGGAGGACTTAAGGGTTGCAGCGTTTAAAGTGTTATGGATTTAGAATCCCTAAAGTCACTAAACTTAAGGGTCTAAGTATTTCAAAGGATTTTGCGCGCTACTGGTGTAGTGGAGTGGTTCAATGGTTTAGACGATGCGGGGTTTAGATGTTTTAGAGTTTAAACGGTTAAGGGTTTAGGTGTTGTGGAGTTTCTGTGCTTCAGAGGTTTTGATTGTTTTCAAGCTGGGTTTAAAGGTTCAACACTAATTCCTAAACCGCAAAAGTTTAGGCGCTTTAAGGGATTTCGCGTTTCTAGTGGTTTGAGGGCTTTGTAGTTTAGAGGTTTAGGGGTTTAGATGTTTTAGGATTTTCGCGCTTCAGTGTTTTGGGTGTCAGGGCTTCACAAAAAAGAAGGCGCTTTTTGTGATTTCACGTTTCCAGTGATTTAGGTGGTTGTTGGTTTCGGGTGTAGATGGCCCTGAGCAATCTAAATAGTTGGCTGCTAGAGGTTTGCGAACGTAATGCCTCGAGGAAAATCTTTTCCGACGCACGGCACCATCTGGTGAATTATAACCTGTTTGGCAACGTTTTGACACAATATTTACAGCGCAATTTAATTCACCCCCAGACTCTCGGCTCCTGCCCATATATTGATCACTCAATGTTGCCTGGCCACAGCTGTGAAAGTGCCGGGAAAAGTGCAAGAGCGCGCCAGGACATGGCTTCGCAGAAAGAAGTTGCTTAGCGCTTCTGATTGCTTCGCCCCAATGAACTAAAGGAAGACAAAAGGGGCGGTGAGGCTGATATCTTTAGGCTCTTCAAAACCTTAAGCAGCCGAAGCTTGTGAGACTGGAGTATTGAAGCGTGACCAATTCAAGCCATTGCTTTCACACCTAATGCTTCCTGAAAAAAAGCGTTGGTATGGCGAGTGGTCAAAGGGCCCTTCCAAAACAACGCTTCGAACTTCGAACATGTATCGTTTTTGATTTGCGATATCACAGCCAAATACCTGCAGAAATGCTTTTAGTTTAAGCTGAAAGCCAGACTCGCAAAAACTTGACGTTCGGCGTCGGCAAGCAAAAGTAGGCAAGCGCAAACCGAGTATATGCGCGCCCCAGCTTCTTTTTTCGACCTCGCAGCAGCGCGCTGTCTGATGGAAAATTCGCACGACATCGCTTGGCTGAGCCACTGCAAAGCGGCGATGGGGCGAGCACTGCCAGAAGGTGATCATTTGCGCCGACATTCCGGGCAGTATCTTTGCCGCTTGCTCCCCTTGGGCTGGTGCTCTTGCCATTTGCGCTTGCACTTGGCGTTTCGACATGTGTGCTCATCTTCTTGCCTGCTGCTGCGAGACACGCAATTCGCGCAGCGTCTCGCGCGCTGGTTCTTGCCCCAAGCCTTCTCGTCTTGATACGGCCTACCTGCGTATGTAATATTGCAAGCAAAACAAGTAAACCAGCGCTCTCGGGATTGCCGTGGGAGGTCGCGCGCTTCTGCTTGGCAATGTTGACACATGATGCTTTCCGCAGGCATTGTGACCATGGTGGCCTGAAACTTTTCCACCGGCTTTGTAGAGGAACAGGCCGCGCAGGTGAGCGCTCGTACCTGTTGAGCGCAGGAGAGGCACCGCTTCTGTCCTGCGTCCAGAGTCAGTAGAGCCCGGGGAAATGCATCCTCGATTTTGTGAGCGTGGCATTCGGCGCAAAAGATCTTGGCTCTGTTGCCTGAGATCTTGCGCTTGGCAGGGCCATCGTCCCCGTGGATGCATTGCATGCAGATGCCAGCTCTGTTTGCCCTGATGTTTTCCCATTGCTTATGGTCGAAAGCGTCGAAGCAGCGAACCTGCTTGCATTTCTCGCACGCTGCGCTGGGAAACCGAGCGTCTCTATAATTCTTCCAATCCACTTCTTCGCCTCGCAATGTTTGCAGCAGCAAAGTGGGGCCTTCAGCTTCACCCCGGCTAAAGAGCCAACGGGGAAAAGGGCGGAGGATCAGAACGTCTTCTCTGTGGCGCACCCTGCTAGCCGCAACCGTGCCGAAGGTTCCGTCGACCCGTTTGTCGACATTCAAGTCCAAAAGGACGGCGCGCAAGGTTTTCCCTTGGCTCGCATGCGCTGTCATTGCGTAGGCAGGTGTGAGGGGAAGCTGGGTTCGCGTCACCTTCAGCAGCTTCTGTTTCCGCTTGGCATCTAAATGCCATTGCCGCTTCACAGGATAGATGGGATATACACCAGGCTCATCGATCCCACTCAAGCTCCAATGCCCGGAGTTCTCAAACTTGACATAGACAACTTGGGGCAAGCGGTCGTTCTCTTCCCACACCCAAGAATGAATGTACCCAGCGCGCCCACGAAGCAGCAGCTTGTCCGGACTTCGGTCAAGATGGTCCGTCAGGGCCACCCTCATGCCAAGTGCCAATGGCAACATGCCGCATAGGTCGCCCGTGTCGCGGTCGTGGTCTTGCAGCCACCTGCCCACAAGGAGAGATTATATTGTAGACAAGTGTCCCAAGGATTAGAAAGTGAAAACTACAGTACATGTCTCAGGCTCATGACATATGACACACGTGTGCTTCTGAATTGGACGTTCCTGCCTGATCTTCGATTCTTTGTCACAGGCGTCCACTTGCAGAGCCGGTGTTGAGGCTTTGTCAATTGCAGCCGCCCAACGCAAAGGCGTGCAAGCTGTTTGGCTATACCAGCGAGCGCGGTCTTTGTTGATCTGATACCGAGCGTCGTTATTGGAGACTATGGCCACGGCGTGCTTGAAGCGGTCCATCTGGAGTCGCTCATCATCTGGCCCAGTGATTACCCTCTGTCTGGACGCTCTTTCTGCTGCTGATAGTTTGCAATTCTCGACTGGCAGGCCATGCAGATAGCGCCAGTTCACTTCCGAGAGCTGACCGCGGCGCAATTCATCCACCACCTCATTCCACCATTCATCTTTGCAGCGCTCCCGCTCTGTCAGCTCAACCACGCCCTGCACGGGGCCGCTCCAGAAGAGTTCCCGCCCATAGTTCATCAAAACATCTGGAACCTTGCTGCCTGGCTCGTGGCTTTTGAAGCGCGCAGGGACGTCTGCAATGTACCCGCCTGTCAAGCAGTCAGAGTCGCAGTTGGTTTTGATATGATTTTGTGGGGCTATTGATCGTCGCGAATATTCGGAATATGATCCGGTTTATAGTATATTGAATAGAACCCAGGGTAAGCGCGCAAAGACCAATACAAGAAAACGTGTCTTCGGTATGTTTTCTTTTCATTCTTCCCTTGCCTTCTGGAGGAGGAAGCTGGTGGAAATCGCCTGTGAAAATGACATTTAGACCAGCAAACGGCCGGGCTTCTCCGCCGACAGCTGTTTTCCATGCGTTCGCGCTCGGGATAACTGCCCGGAGGCGTGCTTCGGCTTGGGCAAGCAAGCGGGCATTGACCATGCTGATTTCGTCGATGATGAGCCATCGCCAATAGGCCATGCGTTTTGCCGTCTCTTGGGTGAGGACTTAGTCCGCCTCTGCTACGCCAATGCTAAATCCGAAGGCGTGGTGAATGGTTTTGCCACGTAAATCAGCGGCGTTGACAGCTTGGAAGGCGACCACTTCATATTCAATGCCTTGTTGATATCCCACCAACTTGAATAACTCGTGTAAATATGATAAGACAAACGATTTTCCAGTTCCAGGCGGCCCGTGTAAGAGATAAACCAGCGGCTCTGCCGATTGCAGTGTCGTTTCCCCTGGGTCGACCAAGGCGCACTCAACAAGAATCCTCTCAACCACTAATGTCAGGAAGCGATGCTGTTGGGAGTTCGTGCCCTTGCTCACGTGCTCACTTCCAAGCCATTGTCGGAGGCGCGCGGCCGAAAGAGGCAGTCTTTCTTGTACGGCCGGCGCCATTGGGATCATGCCGCCGGGGGCTTGCTCGTGCGTTTGCTGTTCCAGCTTGGATCTGGATGTTCGCGCCGCCTCCTTTGCGAGACGATGGTCAATGGTGGCAGCAGCACGTTGTAAGATTGCAGCGTTGTTTTCCTCAGCTTCTTCTGCTGGACACTGGGCCTCGCTCTCTGAGAGCCAAAGCCGCGCAGAGATTTGGAACATGTCCATGGTGAGGTCGTGCAATTTGGTGGCGCCCCCTTCCCCGTCAATGCCTTCGAGGTTCGACGCGCTGCCCCGCACGTGTGTGTGCTGCGCAAGTAGAAGATCTGCCTCTGAGAGCGCCATCTCCTCGTCTTCCAATGCTTCATTGTCGCTGTTTTCTACAAGCCCCTCAGACAGCTGAAGATCCCGAGGAAGGAAGTAGACGAAGCAGAAGTTCAAGGCGAAGCGCTTGATTTCTTCTGTCGGAAACCCGAAGCACAGCACTCGGGCACGGAGAGCGTGGCGCCAGTCGCCCATAGCCCGCGCACGCATGCCATGCACACTGGGGACTTCTGGCGATGCGTCGGCTTCCTCGTTCACCCAAGGGAAGAACAAGACAAGCAGGCGAAGGGCTTGCTCATCTTCGGTCTTGCTTCCGAGAGCGCCATACACCACAGGCACATGGGGTCTGTTCCTGCGAGCAATGATCCAATCATGTCGGTAGGCCTGCGCCAGCGTGCTTTGGGCAAGCGGGTACCAATCGCTGCCGCCCTCCTCCAAAATTTGATAGTCGATGGCAGGCACCAAGCCCAGGTTCTGCTTTTGCACCTTTGCCTCCCCGCTACTGGTCAACTTCGCGTGGTACTTGTCAGGGTCATGTCCATCCCGACCGTGGGCCTCAAAGCTGCGAGGGTGCTTGGCCAACTTGAAATCGTAGTAGTGGTGGAATTCATAAGCTGACAGAAGGTGCAATTCCGACCAGCGGCCTCGCGCGCCATATAGGGTCCAGAAAGGACAATCGAGCAGCTGTTTGCGCGATTTGGTTCGCCAATCGACCTGTTTGCGTCGAGGTTCTGTTGGCCATGCCTCGCGCTCAGCAACGCACCGAAACAGGTGCATAGGGTACTGCAAAGCCATGTCGGCGACAGGGGCTGTCCTGATGGCTTCTGCGTTGAGTGGGTCTTGGTGCTGGGATTGCAGAACTAAATTTGCACACTCGACAGCGCCCCTGCAAACACCCCGCGCGTAGCAATCTGTAATCATCCGCTTGACCAAGCGGGCCCCGACGTAACCTGGCTTCTTGTCGTCCAAGCCTTGGGCTAATTGCTGTTGCCCCTTCTCCCACTCCTTCGCTTCGTGTCGGCAAATGGGTAACCGCTTGTTCTGGTAGTCACACTGATATCCCGTCTGAGCCGCCTGATTGATTTGGGCTTCTCTCATCAATGACCAAATTGGAACTTTCTCATCGCAGTTGTCCGCGCACCCATGGTGGTGGCTGAGGTGCGTGATGGGGAAGCGGTAGGGCACTTGCACATCACCGTTGCACCGTAGGCCAGCCAGCAAAGCGGGATGGTGGCCATTCAAGGACCCATCGTTGCATGGCCCCCACGCAAGTCCAATCATGCTTCGCTTGCCTTTGTGTGGCATCCCTAATTGCTCTGCCATGGCTGGGCAAACAACGAAGGTTTCGTCCGTCAGCCATCGGTCTCTAGGAAACCCGCTCTTGCATTTGGTCGGGTCTTTCGGGTCTCTGCAATGCGCCAATGGGCGGCGCTCGCCGTTGGGGCCATCTGGAAGGTGGACATGGTGTTGTTTACGCTGCTGCAACTGCTCCACATCTTCGTTCAAGTAAGCAAATTTCCACGCATCCGCGCCGCCATTCCTTTGCCGCTGGTAGCCCGGCCTGCTCACCATCAGCAAAGAGCCCCGGTACTCAGGCCACTCATCTTCCACTTCTTTTTGTTGATCTTGCCAGGACTCCGGGTCACAGTAGATGGTGCGTCTCACGTGCGCTGAATAAGCCGTGTATTTCCTGAGCAACTCCAAGTGCCTTTGGTCGTCTAGCTTGAGCAAGTCCGAGAGCGGCGTGAATTGGTGAAAGCATTGCGCGAAAACTTGAAAGTGTCCATGTAAGGTGCCACTCTTCTGGCATTCAATGGAGCCGTAGACGGCGTCGACGCGCCCAGACACTCCGCCCATAGCAGTGGCGTTGCTCCCGAAGGCATCCATGCAAGGGGCGTCAGTGCAAGCGCAGTGTGGGCAATGAGGGCAGAACCGCATCCCGAGCAAGTGCTTCAACGTCAGCAGAACCAAAGTGCGAAAGCCGTCTGAGCACGCCAAAGGGTCTCTGGCCAGCATCGCCTTGCGCGTATCATAATCAGGCATCTCCTTACTTGTTGAACCAGTTTCCCAACAAGAATGTCAATCAATCTATTTTCCTTGCCGTTTGCACACTTTTGCCACGCTACGGCCTGCTAGGGGAAAACAAAACAGACTGCGTCGATGCCAGGGTGCAGAAGCCAAGGCGGCAGGGTCCAGACGAACAAAGTCGAGGTCCAGGCTGGGCTTGTCTCGCCCTTGGAATGGCTTGCTGTCGTCGTGCAGCAGGGCTGGGTCAATTTGGCGCACCCTGGCAAGTCGGAGCATCAGCGCAGAGTCTCGCTCCGACGGAGAAAAAGTCAGGAAGATCGAAGTGCCATACACGACCTGGGTCGCGTGCGTCTGCATGCGCATGGTCTTGCGCACTTCGCGCGTGCCCGGTATATTGCGAGTCCGCGCTTCCAAATTGCTCAACACTTTTTGCGCGCTGAGCGACAGGTTCTGCACATGGCGAAGCTTTGTGAAATCCCCAGCCACTTCCTTCTCTGCCCCGCTGATGTCCGTAAATTTGCCCGTGTGGAGCGACGTGGCAAGTTCACGGACGCCCTTTGCAATGTCAGTATTGATGTTACCTGTCTCAGCATCTGGAACTGCATAAACGTGGCATTTTTCTGGAGATTCACCATGGTTCTGAACAAGTAGTTCCAGAGCGTAAACCCAAAGCTCCAGTCTCGGCGAAATTGTGCTTCGATGCGGCGCTGCATCGCGCTTGCCCAAGCATGGATGGATATCTCGGGCGCATCTTCTTTTCGTCGGCGCATGATTTGCTTTTCGGTGTCTGCTAGATGCTGCTGCGTTGTATTGGACACGTCTGGAAAAGCTGTGGCATACTGGAAGCAAAAGCAGAAAGCTATTGCGAAATAGGCCTGTTGGAATTGGTCCATGAGGTTGTTGCCGGTGCGAACCTCAAGAGTGCGAAGGCTTTCATCTTTGTGCTTGGAAGTATCCGTCGCCAAGGCGTCGGAGAGATCTTTCAACGCTGCTTTGCATGATTGGGTTGCATCTTGATTGCTCTGTCCTTCCGGTACTGCGGCGCGCGGTCGCTGCGCGGCAAATTGAGCCCCTGCAGAGGAAATAGCGCGAAGGCCGTCTGTGGGCGCAGCGGCTTTTTGCGGGGACAACTTGTCGTGGCTGTCGTCCAAGGTGGTGATGATAGTCAAGACTTCGGGCGGGACACCATTCTCTGGGAGGGTTGCTGCTCTGAGATGCACTTCTGCCACGTCAATCTGTGCAAAGTAGGGATGGCCTGCCCGGCGCATGTCAAGGATGAGGTTGACCACCACCTACAAGCAGGGGATCTTTGCAAAAACTGGCGCAGCAACTGGTTGAGAGATGTTCTATATTTTGATTAACTTTAACCATTTCATTAAAATATCCAGCCGCGCTTTTTGTTGGCTTGAATCGTCGCGCCTCTCGGCGCACCGTGGCTTGATGAATCAAGCTTTGCACATCTTCCTCGGTCGTCCTGCCACGCTTATTCGTCTTCAAGAGTATACGGACAACGGAAGCCAATTCAACTCCAGATCTGGGAACTGCGGTTGCGGCTTCATCTTCTTCCATGTGTTCTTGGAGAGTTCGTAAAATCTCTTCCCACGGCAATGGAAAGGTCAATGAATTGCCACGCGCCCCAAAACGATGACGAGCCATATGGACTTGCTCATCCATGGCAGAAGCTTCGTGCCGATACCGCGCTTCCATGGACATGCAAATCAAAGTCGTGATGCAGGGGCTGGCGCAAATCAGCTCGATGACCGTCACCTTCTCTGCGTAGATGCGCTCCGGAGCGAAGCCCGTCCACATGTCATTGGCGAGCGAAAGTGGCGGGAGCTTCTTCGCAAGCAAGTCTTTATGACATAGGTTGCAGAGTGGCACTTCGCATTCAGGACACAGCGCAATCGCTTCACCATCGTCGTTGTGGTGGCTTCTGCAACGGCGATCCTGGAGAAGGGCTTTCGTGCGTCTACTTCAATTCTAAACAGAGTATCTTTACATATTTGTATATACGTATAATACATACAATATTTATATGTGTATGTATGTATATATATATATATGTGTATGCATTATGTTGCACTGTCAACATCGGCCGGAGCGGCTCTTTAAAAGTAGAAGACGCGGTCTCCTCTGGGCAGCAAAGCACTTTGACGGCAGGTTCTTTTCAGGCCAATGAGGCTTTCAATTTCGGCATTGGATTGTCCCAGGAATCGAGCGTAGCCATCGTCGCTGTGAGCTGGCCGCAATGGCTTCCTCCATAGGATGTCGCATTTGTCATCCAAACCACGCGAGTAAGTGTGGATACAGCCGCAGCAAAAGCAAGTCAGCGCTTCCAGCGCGTCCCCCGACATAGCTTCTGCAAAAGACGCCAAAGCCGTGCGATCGAGACTGCAACCTGCAAGGGGCGCGTTCTTCCGAGACACCCGCGCAAGGACCTCGTTGTAGATTGCGAGGATGTCGTCAGGCGCGCGCTGGTTGAGGAGCGGCTGAAGCTCGGCCATGTGGTCGACCAGCAAGTGTTGGTGGAGGTCTTGTTCAGTTCCTTCTTGTAGTTGCCACCAGCAGTTGCTAAAAGCGCAAAATACTTGAGGCCAGAGCTCACCCGCGTCCACTTCCGAAGCGAGGCATCCAGGGGGCAGTGTTGGGTGCTCGCGGATCAAAGGCACCAACTCCTGCACAGGGGTTTGGAGTTGCGCAGCCCGTACGCGAAAGCAGGCACGGCGCGCGGCGCACGCGCGCGGGTCCTCCAACAATTCTTCTTCTCGTCGTTGCGCGCAGACACTCCGCGGCGCCACTCGGGCATTGGAAATTTCATCCATCAAGGAATCCCGCAGCTCTGGCGGGGGCGTGGTCTTGGTGTAGTAGCGGCGGTGCCGTCTCCGAAGGTTTGATGTGGGCGGAGCAGCAGCAGGTTGCG